AAATGATTTGGCTATCGCCAATGTAACGCGAAATAGGTGCAAAGAGTTTTGCGATGGGAAGCGTAAACCGAAAAAAAGGAAAAAAAAGAAAGACTGAAGGAAAGGAGAAATAAGAAAAAAATCTGGTGACGTGGCCAAAAAAAAAAAAAATTCTGTTCATGTGATTTTTCTTGTTACGTGACCAAACAAAAAAATGACAAAAATAAACGAAATAAAAAAAAGAACACGAGAAAAAAAACCAGCCCGGTTTCGAAGCTAGGCCCGCTTGAACGTGAAACTAGCGCGCTGTCCGTTGCGCCAACATAACTTTTTTTTTCTTTCTTTATTGCAAGTTGCGCCAACATAACTCTGCCTGTAACGCTCACGCATTCTCCCACCATAGGAGAAAGCTTAGTTGCCTTCGTAGTTTTTCATGCATGTGTTATTTTTATTTGTGGCAAGAGTTCACGTCCAGAATGCTTTTAGAGTTTTCGAGCAAAACGAGTTTTCTTCATCCGAGTCACCTTCTAGAACCAGTAGACCGCACTGGGTCGTCCGGCTAATCAAGCAGCTTTTTTCAAATTCTCTAACGTACCCGTCCTCGGATCCGAGGTCACCGTTTGACAAGCTTAACTTTCTTCCACCTTTTAGCCGGAACCCCCACGGCAGCTTTGTTCCGTCCCCACTCCCTCTCGAGAGGATGGCTCGCCCCGAGGCTAATCCCATTCTCTAGACGCTCTTTCCACCCAACGATGGCCCTTTCCCTCCCCGTCCCCTAGCTTCGGGAGAGAAGTTTCTTCTCTGTAGAACGTCCTGTTTGTACAGCGGCCTTTAAAGTTCAAATTGTCCTGTCTGTATCGTCCCTTTTGTGTCTCCACTTTTAATGTTTAAAAAGTATCAACACGCTAAAATAGTACAATTTCCAGGATTTTATTTTCATTCCCCAAGTGTGATGCGGGAGCCGCGCCACGGAGCCCCGGTCGTTTCCGCTCTTTGTTATCGCTAGGATTTGACAGTGCTCAATCACAATGCAAGACACGCACAGATCCACGCTCGCTTTTGCAATGCGCCGCCTAATAATGATATCTCTTGTGGAAACGTGCGTACATCCGTCTTGCGCAGTGTTAGCTCAATGACAGCACTTTTGTTAAAGGCGGATTCACACCGGGGATGTAAGCAGTCGCGCGATCCAACTAAATCGCATCGCAAAAAAAAAAAAAAAAAAGTAATTAGTTGGTCAATTTGGCGTGCGCGATGAGCGAGTCCAACGCCTTCGTTGGCGAGTCGCTTCTCAAAAAATCTTGCTCCGAACGCCGTTGGTTGGCTCGGCGTCCTCGCGACTAGAGTGCATCGCGAAAAGTCGGGTCAGCAAGCGACTGCTCAAAACCCGTCACTTTTTGCCCGCGATGGTCGCTTTTGCGATGAAAGTTATGGCGCGACTAGATCGCATCGCCGGTGTGAACGCGCCATAATGTCGAACCAGTCTCACGGCGCGCCCCGATATTGGCTTGTGTACCTACGCGCGAGTGCAACCTCTGGCACAATTTATTTGCGTTTGCAAAGCCTGCTCCAGCCGCGTCAAAACATTCAGCCAACCTTTGGAATGCAGAAATCAAGAGACACCCAAAATAAGATAAAGTTGCCAGCCGAATAAAACTTGATTTCTATTTAATTCAGATGAAGACCACCCGCGTACATCAAATATTTCATCAGCCGAACTCGAAGGCAGTAAGCTAAGTTCTGGCCCTTGTTTGGCAACTTTGGCCCGCAGCTGCCAGATCACAGCCAATTTATCGGGAAGCGAAGCCTAACTTGGGCGCTCGTTTGGCGACTTGGGCCCAAAGATGCCAGATCTCAACCGAACTACAAGGTAGTAAGCCTAACTCTGGCACATTTGTGGCGATTTTGGCCCGAATGTGCCAAGTGACAGCCGAACTGTGAAAAAGTGAAGCCTAACTTTGGCATAAGTTTGGTGATTTTGGCCCGAAAATGCCAAAGCTCTGCCGAACTACAAGGTAGTAAGCCTAACTCTGGCACATCTCTGGCGAGTTTGGCCCGAATGTGCCAGGTGACAGCCGAACTGTCAAAAGGTGAAGCCTAACTTTGGCATTAGTTCGGCGATTTTGGCCCGAAAATGCCAAAGCTCTGCCGAACTACAAGGTAGTAAGCCTAACTCTGGCACATCTGTGGCGATTTTGGCCCGAATGTGCCAGGTGATAGCCGAACTATCAAAAAGTGAAGCCTAACTTTGGCATTAGTTTGGCGATTTTGGCCCAAAATGCCAAAGATCTGCCGAACTACCGGGCAGTAAGCCTAAATCTGGCATTTTTTAGGCGATTTAGGCCCGAAGATGCCAGACGACAGCCGAACTACCCGGCAGTGAAGCCTACGTTTGGCACTTGTTTGGCGAATTAGGGCCAAGATACCCAGACTGTTGCCAAGGGAGGTCAGGTTTGGCACTACTTTGGCTTCTTCGGGCTTTTTAATGCCCTAAACTGCCAGAGGCAAGCCAAGTTTTGGCCCAGAACTCGGTGCTGCCTGGGAGTGTAATTAGGATGCTTACTAAACGTTGAATTAACTCCAAAAAGCCTGGGCAGCGCGAGCACCACCTCCCCGTTGATCTTCCGCACTGTAGATCCTCGTCAATCTTACTACGTTATGCGTTCAAGACTGGAGAGCACGTGGAAAGGAAATATAACAGCTTAACCCATGTTCCATGATTCGTTAGAAATAGCTGGCTACTTTATTGATTATAGCCTGCTTTTAAACGTGGAGTCTTCGATTCTGGTTTTGAGACGCCCATATCTGCAAGGATAGGTTTTATAAGCGATTCCTAAATATATAAATCTACTAATAAACAAAAATCACAAGAGGACACTCAAGACTGCTAAGGTTTGGGGCGGCGAAAGCATGTTAGTGCCGCGGGAGAAATGTTTTTGGAGTAATGTTTCTACACGTATTAAAGTTTAGGACGGTGTATAGGACGACGTCGAGGACGACGTCCTAAAAATCGACGCCAAGTACGGCGTCAAGGACAACCTCTAGGACGACGTCCTAAAGATATACGTCAAGGACCGCGTCTAGGACGACGCCGAGGACGATCTCTTGGACGAACTCAAGGACGACGTCTAGGACGACTTCGAGGACGACGTCAAGAGCGGCGTTTAGGACGACGTCGAGGATGACGATCGACGTCAGGAACGACGTCTTGGGGCACTTCCAGGACGAGCCCTGGGATTACCTTGAGGACGACGTCTAAGACGACCTCGAGAACGACGTATAAGGGGCAACGTCTAGGACGACGTCGAAAACGACGTCTAGAGGAGGGCACTTAAGGAGGTTGTGGCGGATTTGTGTGGGCGGAAAGGTTTCCATGCGGAAGCCGCCGTAGATGTAGACGCGCTCGCCTGACAGTCCATCGCACGAAGCACACGACGAGAACAAATGAAGTCCGAAGGGCACCTTTTGTACACGGCGCTCCGGCGGTGACATCGAGCTCCCGCACTTGAGCGTGAGCGGCGCGTGCTTGATGACGTATTTTTATGACCATCTTTTGGGCATAACTACGCCGCATTTTCGCGTAATGCGACAAGTATGGTCGTCCTAGAGGTCTAGGTCGACAAAGTTGAGCAGACGCCACACAGCACGGTTTGCTGATCCCATGTCACTTGTAACTATGATCACCTTGAGAGAGATGTTGAAACATAGTTCAATGAGATGAAAGACAAGCTCCTTCAAAGCACTTTCGTCAGTTGATCGTCCAGTGAAGTAGTATGCAATCACTTGCTTCCACCGTGTGTTTCTCTCTAGGGGATATCAAGGACGACGTCAAGGCAGCGTCGTCCTCGAGCATACGATTGAGCGACGCGTGTCGCTCAATCATATTTTAGGGCCATATACGCCGCTTTTGGGCTCATTGGGACAAGTAAGGTTTTCGCCTGAAAATCAAAATAAGAACACCGCGCACGACTTCGAAGAAAAAGGTGCCGTCGGGCTCAAGCCTTTATTAACCGGGAACGATTCTTAGAACTCAGTTATAATCTGCCTCTTTTTTTCTGGAAAGCAGTATGATCAATGATGGTGGTTCCTGAGCGATATAAACTAAGTTTTAAAAAACTCTCACTTATTTTTTGCGATGCAGTCATTCTTGTTTTTAAGAAACCAAGTCCTTAAGCAATTTCTGTTGAGATTTTTTTGCCAATTTTTATAGAAAGCTCCTCTATTTGCAGGAAACTTTCTTATATTTCAAGTAGCAATACGGGCAAATTATATCGCACTTCAAAAAAAAAAGCAAAAAAAAAAGCACAACTTAAAAAAGATAAGAATAATCACTTTTTACTTAATTTTTTTAGAAACGCGTACATTATGACGGCATAAAGTACTTTTTCTGCTCTACTAGAAGAGTTCAACATGTGTCACCGTAAGCGCAAAAAATCGTAGGGAAATACGAAAATGGTTTTAGAAATCAGAAAAATAAAGTAATTGTTCCTCATAAATTAAACATTGTTTCGTAGGTTGGAAAAGGTAAAATGCACTGGAGTCGGTGTCAGGTTAAGGATACAGGCAAACCTCCTCTACTCTGCTTCTAATTTAGTAAAGCGAACGCTAGAGAGAAGAAGACGCTCTCCAGTGACTGCTTTCCTAAAATAAAAAGAAGAGGGAAGAGACTCCTCTGAACCCTTAACCTGTCAACGACTACATCAGAAATTATATTAAATATGAAGAGTTATTTTTGAACTTTAATACAAATTCAAATTCAATACAATACAAATTTAATAGAAAAAGAGTCGCCGGGGCACAAAGAATTTATATACGAGGTCTGTTAAAAAAGTATCCGACCTTATTTATTTTTTTGCGATCACCTGATGGATATGAAACAAGCGCGCTTGCTTCAGCCGACCTTGAACTTTCATAGGCATGCGTGCATTTTTTCCCACCTGCCGATAGCGTCAGTCGCTGGGAAGCAGCGTTTGAGTGAGGTAGTGCGCAGTGCTCTCGTCGGTTTTTTTATTGCAAGGAAAATGGCGGACAGACTGGAGCAGCGCTGCTGTATCAAATTTTGCCAGAAACTGAACGACAGCCAAGTGAAAACCATTCCGAAGGTTCAAACGGCTTTCGGTGACGATGCTATGAGCAGCAGACAGATTAAAGTGTGGTACAACCGGTTTAAAGACAGCCGCACCTCGGCGGAGAGCCAGCCACGCTCCGGTCGGCCATCAACATGCCGAAATGACCTGTTCATTGCCGAAGTGAACGCTGTGAGGATGCGGGACCGTCGTGTGACTATCCGAGAAATTGCGGAAGACGTGGGCATCAGCAGTTTCTCTGCACATTCCATTATGATCGAAGGTTTGGCCATGAAGAGAGTTGCGGCGAAATTCGTGCCGAAGCTACTCATGGTGGAGCAAAAGCAACTTCGTGTTGAAGTCTCACAGGACATGCTGGATTCCACAAACAGTGACCCAGACTTTATGAACACCATAATCACTGGCGGCGAGTCTTGGGTGTACGGGTACGAGCCGGAAACCAAATCCCAGTCGTAACAGTGAAAGCGTTCCACGTCACCAAGACCAAAGAGGGCCCGCCAAGTGATCAGCAACGTCAAAATGATGCTGACTGCTTTCTTTGACTCCCGCGGTGTGGTATACTATGAGTACGCACCACAGGGTCACACAATCACCAAAGAGTACTAGAGGGATGTCCTCCGTCGCTTACGTGATGCTGTACAGCCTAAGAGTCCGGAGTTGTGGTCAACAGGAAATGGGCGCATCTATTACGAAAATGCTCCGGCGCATTTCTCGCACTTGATTGAGACTCTTTTGGCGAGAAACCAGACTCCTATAGTTCAACGATGTCCTTATTTTCCTGATATGGCCCCCCGCGACTTCCGGCTGTTTCCCAAAATCAAGAGGCCATTCAAAGGAACGCGATTTCAGACAAGAGACGACATTATGGCTGCAACGACAGCTGAACTAAACTCCATTCCGAAAGAGGCCTTCTCGGAATGCTTCAAACAACGGCAACACCGCTGGGAGAAGTATGTGGAGTCCCAAGTAGACTACTTTGAGGGTGTTTAGGTTTTCAACGCTCCAGTTATGCCAGCTCTTTCTTACTTTGGCCAAAGGTCGAATACTAGTCTAACCAACCTCGTATGTTTCTTGTTCTGTACTCGAAAGCAGCCTCAACAATATTCAGTCCGGGGGCACACAAACATAAGGATTGATCATAAAAAGTAAAAAAACTTCAACACACCGTCGCAAAATTTTATTTTAAACAACAAGTATAAAATAATTACGTGTCGGTCGGAATTTAAAGTGACTGATCTCGGCAACTTCAAATCGTTCCGCAAATGTCAAAGTCAAGTAAATTTAATTCTTTCCCTTTAATGGTTTATTTCAAGCCCTGATGAATGTTAAAATACTTGGTTATGACGCGTTAAGAGGTTAGCCATCACCGTAGATGGCAAAATTACTTTAAAAAGTAATTAAATTTCATTACTAGTTACTTTCTTTAAAACTACGAAAATGTAATTAAATTACATTACAACTTACCGCACACTAAAAGTGTTGGCATTACATTACGATTACTTTCCAAGAGTAATAAAGTTACTCCGACCTTACTTCTAAATACCTTGAGGCAGCAATTCGTTTTAATTTTATTTGCAGTATTAGAACCAGAACTCAGATCTTCCTGTTTAAAAAGCCACAGCCTTATGCGCCTCAAAGTGACCCATACCGAACAGTCGTACCAATGGTGCACATGAAAGAAGTGTTGAATATGATCAATAGCGTCTTCTCAGATGTAACTCTAGGACAGTCGACTCACCGGTTTCGCTGTTAATTGAACGGTGGAGGTCTTTAGTTAAAGGGTTATGCCGTTCCGTCTCCCTGATCTCGAAGAAAAGGTTATAATCCCTATCAGTAACTTGATTCGGGCCATGTGAGCTCGTTCTTACAGGAAGTCATCATGCGGAACGTTTTTAATCCCTATCAGTAACTTGAGGAAGTCATCATGTGGAACATTTTCCCGCCGACTCCGACGCAGTCTAATTATTTTCGCTCAAGCTCCCTATTTGACGCATTAACCGGCATTCCTCTTGAAGAGTATTGTTCCAAAACACCCAAAGCGCACGCGTTACTGCGCGTTGTCACACAAGGGGGCTGGATGTTTGCTGGACAGAAGCATTGTCATTCGAGGAAAGGGATAGCACGAGCTTCTTAAAAAGTGTGCGCCTGGTTCTTACAACGTCAACGAACGAGTAGCGATATATGCTCGTTTGGTTATTCCCGAATAAACTCTCTAAGGAGAGGCAGAGCGGCACACCACGAGCGGCACCTGCTTTTCTCGCTTCCTTTCTTTTCCGACTACAAAAGCATCTTTACTTACCAAGGCCAAGGCTATGCACGAAACGTCTTGGGTCCTCGACTTGGCATTTGTGATGAACTATTTATTCCGGTCGTTTGCCGTTCACGATGACCGGCGCTTACGGTTGGACCTTGCTTGGCGAAAGAGCAAGAAAGCTTGAGATCTGCGTCTTCAGTCCTCCCCTGTCTTAAAATGTGTTGACCTCACTGGTGACGTGGCCTTCGCATTGTATCCCATAAGCTGTTCACCCGCACGCCACGTAACCGCCCTCTCATTCACACCCACGCGCAGGGAAGGGGTTGGGTGATGAAAGGAAGGTGGTTGATTTGTTCCAGTGAGCTCATAGCACCCACCGCACTGCGAGGTTACGGGTGAACGAAGTGCATATTCTGCTTACCCCTAAGTTGAGACTGCCTGCGGTGGAAGCTAAGTCCTCGTTGGAGAAGCCGTTCGTTTTCTTTTCTCCACGTGATAATGATCCCGCTCATACCCACGCGCAGAGAGTCGGGTCAGGTGATGAAAGGGAGGCGGCTGATTGGTCCTGAGTGCGTGCATTTCCCACCGCTGTCCGGGCTTAGGGGTAAACGGTGTATAATACTCTAATGACGACGTGGCGCCGTGAATCTGTCTTGTGTGGAATTTGCGAGCCGTCGTGGCCTCCCGGCGATGTCTTCACACCAAAGATTTTCTCCACCTCCATCGCCTTTCAAGTCCGCCTTCGTGCGTCTGTCGTATTCCTTGCACGAAGCTTTACGCTAAGATGGCTATTTTTTATTTGCTCTGATTTCTCACGACATCTCACCGTGCAACAAACTGTTTCATTTTGGGGAAAAAAGGAATTTCAAATGCAGTGAGTAATTTTTTAACATTACTGCCCAAAATATATTTTTACATTACTTAATAACGAGCCTTGAAAAGTAATTCGTCACATTTCTCATTACCACGCGAAGTAATCTAATTAACGTAACTTTTTTACAGCAATGTCATTACTGCCATCTCTAAGCCATGCAGCGGTCTAGCAGAGTTCAAAATCTACCCGACCATAACAAAATGACAACATAGTTGTAGAGTAATACAAACTTAGAAAATTGCATTCATCTTCACAAGTTAAGAACACAAAGTACAAAATATACTTTGCCATTTAAAAATAGCTCGTTAAAAATGATCAGACTCCCGCCAATACCCAATGTATGTAAAATCCGTTTATTGGAGTCACTTGATAACCCAAGGTAATGTCATCGCGTCTCGTGACACTATGACATCAGGCGGTCAAAGGTTAAACGAGACCACGTGATCACGTTGTCGCAGCTGTACGCTCCGTTCGTTGCATTCCATCACTTTTCAGATTCGCCCTAGAAATAGATGTCCGGTTAAAAATATAAATAACCATTCTGGAAGTGTCGCGAAACGCTTTCGTTATTAACGTGTTATTATATAAGAAGATCGGATCGCGCTTTTTTTTATGCCAGAACTCAGTTAGACATTGGAATTTAACGGAGAAGTATTTCCGAAAGCCGCACGTAGCTCAGTTTTCATTAAATGTGTTCTATATTTCCTTTAATTTTATAGGCCGTCGTTCTAGACCGCACGAATAATACAATGCTGTACTCCTAACGGCAGCCGGAGTTTGTCAAAAGGAGCGGTTATCACATGAGGACTCCCATATTTTGTAAACATCGTCCCTGTTTCATTGTCAATGGTAGAATGGCGTATAAACACAAGTAGCACGCTTTCTTGTATATCGCTTCGCGTCTATCTTTGATTTTTTAACCGAAACTACTAAGAACATGGTTGTCCTATGTTTCTTTTTTTTTTTTCGGTAGATATATTAACAAATATCCCGGAAGAAAATAATACTTCAAAAAGGTATTACACTTTTTGCAGTGGCACATTTTACCTGAAATTACACAGTGTCCTCTCGTATGTAAATCTGAAATTAGAGTTTTTCGCAAAGCTAGTTTGATGCATAATTTTTTTTAAAGCCTTGTGGCCAAAAAAAGACACCTGTCCGTGTCAGCGTGTCCTTATGGTCTAGGTCATGGGCCTCCAAACACCGACCGGCTGGCCAGATCCGGCCCTCGGAAGGATTCCTACCGGCCCGCGGCTGGTCACGGTCCTTCCAATGAAGCTCGGCCGGCGGCCCGCTTCCAGCAGCGGACCTGCTCCAAAAGGTATGCACCTAAGGAAAAACGGCGCCACGACGTGCGCCAAATGCGCAAAAAGAAGGCGCCAGAAAGAAAGAGACCCGCATCGTAACGGGATTCTCTCGCCATGACTGAACATTGTCATCCCCAGCGTCACGTCAGAACATTATCATCACCATTGTCACGTATTTGAATGTGTCTGTGTAACATATTATACTTATTTTGCGTTATCATGTACATTGGTCGGCATTAGTTTCGTTATTCGCATTAGTCTTTTGCACTGCGCTAATGTGCTAGAGTTTCCATGCGCTTTGATTTATGCCTGGTGAGCTTCCACGGTCACCATTGTGGTGTAACGTTATAATTAGCTCAATATTAAAATTTAAATGGAAACATGTGTACTCATGCAACTTAGAATGTTTTTATACTTACTCTAACATTAATTTACCGGTTTAAATTCCTACCTAGGTTTATTAATACAGCTGTTTTCCTAATTTGTAATTACTGTTTCTTTCCGGTGCTTAAGAATGCGACAGATGCCTAATCTGACCCTTTAGCCAAAACATTTGGAGACTCCTGGTTCTTGATCATACTTCTTAGTTGTTCGCTTCCAATGGCACTGTCACGTCAAGCACCCGTGGTGTTTGACATTTTGTGTACGGGTAAGGAGTCAGACTAATACAAAAGAGATGGCCATATAAAGGCGCACGCGCGGTCTGCGTTTTGACTTCAGGACACGGGAAGTTAACAACATAGTGCGTGACACGGTAGATCAGCTTGGTAGTGAACAATGCCAATGGCCTTAAAATATACGCTGCTTTGTCCTATGCAATAAAACATGAATGACTGAGGTCCTATATAGCGCTAAGCGACGCTTCAGATAACACGTAGGTTTATATTAGGTAGCGCAGCACTTACGTGATTTGCACGCTATAACACTGTTGTTGAAGGGAGGGGTGTGCGAGTTGGTGCATTGCATAAAAAATAAAAGCGGCTGAGAACAAGACGGTAAAAGAACGCTTTGATTAGTCTAC